GGTAAAGGGCTCAGGTGGTCCATATGGCTTCGACTTTTCCCTACCATAATCTTGTCTCAAATTTGGTTCATTCGACCTCTTTAGCTGGGTCTTTTCAGAGCTCGGGATAGTCTTCATCGCCTCCTCCATATTAATGTACTTTTCTCCTCTTGTAAGAAGCTCAGTCACAGACTTTGGGGGTGTCTTAGATAAAGACATCTTGAAGGCCCACACTTTACCGCATACGTAAGAATCGAAACAGTAGCTGTGATGTGAAGGTCAGGTATTTGCAGCCTTTCCCCGTTGAACCTCGTCATGAAGTTACGTAGAGTCTCATTCGGGCCTTAGCGGAGCTGCATGAGGGTCACCGCAGTCTTTCTGATGCGCTTACTACTTGCAAAGAAGGCGGAAAACTTATCAGCAAGGTCGGAGAATGATGCTACAGAGTTAGGCTCCAATGTGGCGAACCAATCCCTAGCTGCGTTTGTGAGTATCTGGGGAAAGCCTTGCACATTACCGGATCTGGTGCCACCTATAGGCTCATAACGTCCGTATACGCATTTAGATGATTGATAGGGTCAGTGGTCCCATCGTACTCCTTTATGCGAGGGAACTTGAACTTGTTCGGGAGGGGATAAGAGATGACTTCTGGCGTAAAAGGAGTGCTAGGGATGAAACCCGTCATTCCCTTGGTATTCTTTTGTAGTCCTGTCGTGATCCCATCCTGTATGATTCGGGCTAGTTCTCCTGAGTCCATAGTAACCAATCTCGAGGCCGAGGCTATCGGGGGTATAGCCGAGCCCTCGGATCCACCATTTTCGTGGGCCTTACGAGTATCTCGAGCTCAAGCATCATTCTTGAAATCCTCCTGGGGGATCGGTGTACGCTCCGGTGTAGGATCTTAGGGTGTGTTTCTCCCAATCAGTAGCTTGGTTAGCGTCGCAACTTGCTTGCGGAGTTCTTCGAATGCTCCAGCAGTAACTATTGCTGGTTGAGGGGCTGACATTGCTAGCGACTCTCCTTGATGTATTGGGCGTTCTGGGGCGGGGGGCTGGTCCGGAGCGG